TGCCTGATGTAGTGTACATTATCAACAACTTCATCTAACTTCACATTAACTGGTGATGTACAAAGTGTCAACTTTGGTAGTTTCTTGTAGTAATGAGCTTTGTTTAGTAACTACTGCCTGATGTAGTGTACGTTATCAACAACTTCATCTAACTTCACATTAACTGGTGATGTACAAAGTGTCAACTTTGGTAGTTTTTTGGAGTTATGAGTTTTTCTTATTAAATACTGCTTGACATAATGCAAGTTATCAACCAGTTCATTTAGTTACATTAACTGGTGAAGTGGAAAGTGTCATCTTTGGTAGTTTCTTCTAGTAATGAGCTTGTCTTATTAAATACATTCATTAATGAATTGCAGTGTGTAGACTTTGGTACGATATTTAATAATTAGCTCCTCTCATTAGACATTCACTAATGTATTACACAGTGTATAGGATATTTGATAATTAGCTCCTCTCGTTAACATTTACTGATGTATTGCATAGTGTAGAATTTGGTAGGATATTTGACGTATTGCACAGTATATACCTTGGTATGATATTTGATAATTAGCTTCTCTCATTAGGTTATTCAATAACTAGCTCATTAAATGTTGATTGATGTAAAATTACAAAATTATTCAAGAGACTTTTTTGTAAAAATGAATTAAAATATCTAATATGCTGTATAGTAAGTAGAAAGAACTTGAGTTAGACTGTAGCCCTGAATATATAGACATTGCCACAGATGCTTGTGTTTGGCATTCCCTTTGTTCCACCAAGATAATTTCCAATTAACCTTGATTTTCCTTACAATGAGCTGTTCATGGGACTATTTCTCTGAAATCATACATTCCATTACCATTTTCTCCAGCCATTTCTTCTGCATTGGTATGCACTCAGAGAATATCACCTTTCGGGTCTTTATTCCTGCAGGTAACACTTGCTGAAGGAATGACTTGATCTTCCTGTGCTCCTGCAGAGTATATTCAAAGCCTTTCTAGTTCTTGTTCAGTTTGCAAAGTTTTCTTAGTGGCTACAATTTTCAAATGAATCCATACTACAGTTTCCATTTGGTGTCCCTGGTGCAGTTCTTCTCATCTAAAACGCATCTTCTTTTCATGTTCATTCTTATCCATGCCCCTTGATAGATAACAAGTAATGTTAGTCCTTATTTATTCTTCAATAGCCAGTAGGTCAAGTATATAGAATGATATACATTGATTAGATGATTTAATGTTTGATAATCAAATATGTTTAAGCTGTTGTTTAATAAATAATTTCTAAGAATTTCATTATTAAATTAACTCACCACAGAGTATGAATTAAGAAAGCCTTATTACATAAAAGAAGTATTTGACATATACGTGTCATTCATTAATTTTGTTTCGATTCTTCCAGGAAACACTAAACCTCTAACCTTTGATGAAGTTTACAACCAGTCCAGCCCCAACAACTGTACCGTTTACTGTGGTGGTATCAACCAAGGACTTACTGGTCAGTGGATTAAGTTTAAACCAGTACAGTAGAAGCTAGACTTAACTGGAATGACCAGTACAGTTTTGTAGTGGTCAGTTTTTGTTGTTTTTTTCACTGATGTACAAAATAAGTGAACAATTATTATGTTTGTTCTGAAAAAAGAAATGTTCTGGTTAATGAAATATGACCATTTCACATTTGAAAAATTAATCAATGGATTAATTATGCATTCAACAGTTAAATATGATTGTTTTAATTACTTAGAGTAAACAATTAGAACTTAACATATTTAGTTAGTACCAATATAAAACAAGATATCCCACTGAGTAGAAAATAGATCAAGCGCTGACTTGTTTAATGTTGATTGAGGATCCTGCTTAGTAAGTCAATGATACAAGAAACAGTTTTTTAGCAGTAAAAATTTATTTACTGAAATAAACAACAATGTTTTGATCCATAATAAAATGTCATTTTCAGGTTGCCATTATGGTCAAACAATACATGACAAGTTCAAATTACAATAACGTTTTGCCACATAGTAGTGTGTTATGTTCAGGTAAAATTGATAAGTGCTGCAGACATGGAGTCAAAATATGGATTTCCAGCCTAATTTGTTCACTTTTTTTTGTTAGAGTCCCTAGTTGTAGGCTTGAAAATATAATCTTTTCATTTTGATTCAGATTGTTTATGTATTATTTTGACTATCTCTATTCCCCTTTTTAAATTAACAGTTTTTAATTCTCTTGTTTCTTAAGTTTTTATATACATTTATGGAGAATAAATTGTAATCTACATACATGTGTATGCATTCAGTTAAATGTTACGTTTTCTCCACCCATCCATTATTTACTGAGCCAGGTGGTTTTGTGCCTGAGGTTTCATGTAAACATGCGTTTAACAAGTGTAGAGTATAAAGGATGTTGCTCACAACAACATTGCATATATTATGTATTTATGGCCACATAAATCAGCTTTCAACTAGAAGGGCACTCAATAGAGCGCAGACCTCCAGTGTGTAACTTTCATCATATTTGGCCCTCAAAAAATATGAAAACCTTTCCATATGTCTGTCATTATCAACATAGACCATTTTTGGTAGGACAATGAGGAATAATATTCTATGTAACTCCATCAAGTTTCATTAAAATATGATCATTTTTGACTGAGTTAGAGAGAAAAAATTGTGTGAAAATTGGTCTCCATGTTAACAAATAGGGATTTTTTATTTTTGTGACCTTGCTGTGACTTTGACCCTCAAAAACTAATCACTTCTTAGTTAGATCATAGTTGAAATTTATACCAACTTTCATTCAAATCCATTCAGCCATTTTCAAGAAATCTTGCCGACAAACACATAGGGGGTGAAAACACAACTTCTGTCCACCTTATGTGGCAGGGTTATGAAAAATAATCAACTTTTTAAATAGGTCATGGACATTTGCTACGTTTCAAATAGTATATCTGTGTAGGTTTTGATGCAAAATACTCAGCCAATTTTGCTGTAAGCTTGTGAAATAAAAATATTAATAATAAAATAATACTAAATTACACACTCACCAATTCAGCAAAGTATGAAAATCAGTAGAATAAATCACCACTCACTATGGTAATCATTTACTGTTAGAAAACTCACTGAAATAGTCACAGAAAACTACGTAGAGACAAAGTCAGGGGCGGATTGGGATGGCTAAGCGGCCCGGGACTGGGATCACAGAGTGGCTCTGGACAGGTTTTCTGTT